TTTCCTCCTTCCCCGCAGTCTGACTCACGCAGTCTAAATTATAAATTCTGACCCACTTTTCTAGCTTAAACTTCCAGTATCTTATACTGTTACCTTTGCCGTTAGTCCAGCTGTCTTTCTTTCTCTTCTTTTTTCTTGATCACTGCACGGATATAGTTGTGTATACTAGTCTAACCTGATTTATTTTCAATCATTCTCTCAATCAGATTTCTCACTGTAACAAAATTCACACCTTTCTCTCTTTCCATTCTGTTTCTTTCCACTATTCATTTGTTGCAATCTAACATCGTATGTGTCACAGTGTCCGAGTGTTCACAGTATAGGCATTCATCTGTGTCAGTCTTTCTAAACCTAAAGAGGTAGACCCTAAAACACCCGTGTCCTGTGATCAACTGCGTCAGGAAATAATCCAGTCGCCTGTGGCCACAGTCCACCCAACCTCTTATCAGCAGGATCAGTATTTTCGTACACTGTGCCACATCCTCTGTTCTGTTCCATTATTCTTGCCATCTTTCAATTGACCTTTTTTTTCCTATCTTCTCTCGGTCGTAGTAAGGTTTGGGCCTCTTCTCTCATAAAACTCTTTTCTTTCCACCGCCCAAACCTGCAACGGAACACATCCAGTGATGGTCTACAAGGCTGCCGCAGATACAATCCTGTAGGCGCATGCCAGTCGCAACAGACTTGTTATGTCCACTTGTGTCATGAGCCTCCTATCCTTAAAAACACCTAGAAAATAGAAAAAAGGAAAGAATACATACATGAACTATTAGAAGATTGTGAGTCAAAAATGAACTATACAACAGTAAAGATACTGAGCCAAGTATAACAAAAAAAGAAGTCAAGTCAACGAAAAATCTCTCAACAATCGGAAATATATATTTTTTTTTGAGGGTATACAAGGCAACTATCGAACACGGTGATTAATTTAATCTTGCCCAATTACTTTCGATCAATAGATCATCTTCAGGGACATTCAGGGAATGTCATACATGTAAAATTTGGACATAACAATACAAAATACAATACACAAAGTCAAACAAACACTTTAAAAATTTTAAGGAGAAGCTACATGTTGTATAGAAGCCGGAGACAGAATCGGTAATATATTTTTTAATAAAATACACGAATTAAGATTTTGAAATTTTTAAAGTAAATCACTTTAAAATAATAAAAGCAAACAATTTACGTTTTAGGGGGAAAGAGGTGGGGCTGGCGGGGAAAATTTGCTCTGATCCTACTGTTTATTCACATAAAGCGTAAAAAAAACTTTAAAAAAAATGATTTAGGTTATAGGTATCGATCTCAAAAAATATGTTTTACCCCGCAAAAGCTGGCAATACAGTTAAAAACCTTAAAAAACTTAGTTTTTTTGGGATTAGAGGTGTTTCGCTTAATTTGTGAATGTACTTAAATATTTAGTTACTTTAACTTATATGCAACCTATAAAAGAACCTTGATTTAATTTATTTTGAAATCTATAAAATGTGGAAAATTCTTCAAAAACTCATAAAAACCAGTTTTTTAGATTTTTGAAGGGGACGCATCTAACGAAAAACCTGGGAAAAATCAAAAATGTAGTTTTTTAATAAATACATAAAATGGAAACAAGATTAAGGCTGCAACGGTCTCCAAAAAAAGTTAAACGCGTTAACCTACGGTTCTCTAAAAAATAGACAAGTTTTGTAAAACTCCCAGCTATGCATATGAATTTTTTAAAAATTTAAATTAATTTAAACCTACCGAAAAAAAACTAAAAGCAAAAAATTGAGGTTTTTGGCAGTAAGCGGTAAGTGTGGAGGGCAAAAATCTGAGTCCTATTTTTAATCACATAAAACGTAAAAAACTAAAAAAAAAATTATTCAGGTTGAATCTATCTCAAACAATATGATTTTCCCAGCAAAAACTCGCAATACCGTTAAAAACCTTAAAAAACATAGTTGTGTGTGGGTTTAAAGGTATTTCGCTTAATTTATTAATGTCCTTGAGTACTTAGTTACTTTAAGTTATATATAACCTATAAAGAAACCTTAATTTAATCTATTTCAAAGTCTATAAGATGAGGAAAATCTCCAAAAACCTCTAAAAACCAGGTTGTTAGGTGTTTGAAGAGGACGCATTTAAAGGAAAGATCAGAAATGTAGTTTTTTTAATAAATATACAAAATAGAAACAAGATTTGAGCTGCAACTGTCTCCAAAAAAAGGTAAACGGTTTTCTTCGAAAAAAAATTTCTTTTAAGGTTATGTACACTTAACCTACGGTAGGCATTTTGCCGATCTCAACGGCGGTACCCTTTAATGCTAAAATATATAAAGAAGTAACCCATAGACCAACCCAGTACGGTATAATAAACAAAAATAAATACTTTATATTTGATTTTGCGAGAGAAAAAAATATTAAAAGCATTCCTAATTACTAAATTTTTTTTGAACCTGTTCTCTATCCTTCCATTGTTGGATATAGGTCTCCCCAGTTCTCTCCATCTTTCCCTATCTTGAGCTGTTCTCTACCATGTGGGACCTCCTTGTTTCCTGATGTCATCTTTCCGCCTCATCTGTGGTCTGCCTCTTGATCTCTTTGCATGGTATGGACGCCACTGTCCGATGACATTGTTTCATCGTCCGTCTTGGAGACGTTCATTGTGTCCAGTCCATTTCCATTTCAATTTTGCTGCTTGTTTTATCGCGTCTACCGTCTTTGTTCTGGTCCTGATCCACTGGTTACGTTTTCTATCATTCAGTGATATACCCAACATTTGTCTCTCCATCGCTCTTTGTGCCTTGCTTATCCTATTCAAATTTTCCTGTGTAAATGTCCATGTCTGTGCTCCGTAGGTGAGCACCGGTATTATACAGGAGTTATATACCTTGCTTCGTAAGTATAGAGGGATTGTTTGATTTTTTAGAACGTAAGAAAGTTTGCCGAACGCTGCCCATCCCATTCTTACTCGTCTCGATATTTCGGCTGTTTGATTTTCTCTGTTAGCTCTGATTGCTTGTCCTAGATAGATATACTCATTTACCTGTTCTATTTTTTCTGTTTGTATTTTTATTGCCTCTTGGTCTTCCGTGTTTGTCATTACTTTTGTTTTGTTGAAGTTAATTTTTAGGCCTTTTTGCAGTGATTTTTCATGAAGTTCATTCAGCATTAATTCCAATTCTTGTCGTTCCGAGGAGATCGGGAGTATATCATCCGCATATCTAAGGTGATTTAGGTACTTTCCGTTAATACATATTTCTCTGTTTTCCCAATCTGTTGATTTTATTATATCTTCGAGGGTTAAGGTAAACAGTTTAGGTGAAATTGTATTGCCTTGTCGGACTCCTCGTTTAACTTTTATATTATCCGTTATTAATGTGTCGTCCAGAATTACGGTCATGGTTGCGTTTTGGTAAATATTATGTATCAATTGTCGGTATCTTGAATCTATTCTTCTATTGACCAGAGCTTCTTCAACCGCCCAGTGTTCAATGCTGTCGAAAGCCTTTTCATAATCTACGAATGCTAAGTACAGCGGAAGGTTGTATCCATTGGTTTTCTCAATTAAGATTTTAAGCGCATGTAGATAGTCGATTGTGCTGTATCCTTTCCTGAATCCGGCATATTAAGATTGTGTTGGCATTTCTCCATTGTTTAGGTATTTTACCTTCAAACAGACATTTTGTTGAACAGTATTTTTAGCATTCTTTTTATCGTGTCTCCTCCTTCTTTTAGCAGTTCCGCCAGTATTTTGTCCTCATCGGCTGCTTTATTTCTTTTCATGTCGTTCATGGATTTTTCGATTTCATCTTCAGTTATTTCTGGTAATACCTCTGAGCCAACATTTTGTATTTTTCTCGAGAGATTTTGTTTAGATGATAGTGGTGGGTTATTTTTAGAACTGTATAGGTCTGTGTAAAATCTTTTTGTGATTTTTACTATTTCTTCTAGATCTCTTTCTTTACTGTTCTCAGCTTTAAGCATGATTAGTTTTCTTTTTCCTATATTTGTCTTCATTGTTTTTAAACTTTTGTTCTTCTCTATGATTTTTTTAGTGCGATCTTCTTGGTATTTCTTTAAATCTCCCTTTATCTGTTTTCTTATGGTTTTGTTCAGTTCGGTAAACTCCACTGTATTTATTTTGTTCATTATCATTCAGGAGTTGTCGTTTTTTTAGCATATCTTGTGATTTAACGCTAATTTTTGGTTGTTTTCGCTTTTGTTTATTAGCAATCATCAGGCCTGCTTCTAGTAGTTCTGATGTTATTTTATCGTTTAATTTGCCTAGTTGCAAACGGTTTAGCTGTGATATGTCACTTCTTTTTAGCTAGTTTATGTATTGCTCTTTGCGTTCTTTAAAAAGTTCTGTATCTATCTCTTTTTTAGATGGTTTAACTTTTTGTCTGTCTGTTGTGGCGTTAATTTTGATTTTGGCCCTAACAATTCTGTGATCACTTCCTACGGAAATCATATTTATGACAGTAACGTCTTGTACTATGTTCTTTTCTTTGGATAGTATGTAATCAATCTCATTTTTGGTTGAACCATAATTAATAAATTACTCAGAAAAAATTCGCAGTGGTTGATTGTATACTGTTAAATATTAAAAGGGAGTATAAAAACTCCTGTTTTGTGTAATTCGTATATTTTAAATTTTTTAATATAAAATTTCAAATATACCGATCACAAAAAAATAAGTTTTAGTTTTTCTTCTAATTTCTTAAAAGCTTCTAATGTCAACGTAAAAAATTACACAAAACAACATTTTGTCTTCTTATTTCAAAATCTTGTGATCAAAATCCATTCGACGGAATTATAAAATGATTATATCGTTAATACAACATTTTCAATTATATTAAATTATATTATTAAAACAGGATCAACCCTCGTAGATAATTTAATTAAAATATTGTTTACCCAATACCTCAATAAGCAGATAAGCAGTTCGAATTACAATTTAATACCGTCTAATTTTATTTAATAAAGAAGGAATCCCGATCACTTAGCCGTAATGACAAGATGATGTAAGAAAACGGAATTATTTAGTGCTAGAATATTGAGTTCATGTCCCTCCAGGTATCGAATTATTGACATATCTCTATAGAATTAGCCAAGGGGATGTAAGTTCAAAACGACGAAACTGAATGGGGTTGTTAACTGAGAGAATCAGTGGGATATATAATTACGTGTCATCGCAAAGCGGGAATAGGCATATATACTCTGGAATGAAAGAAAAGAAAAAAAATAATCTGTTTCTAATAATCTTCCTAGAAAATATTATGTGATTTTTATAAATGTCATTTTTATTTATAAATAGAATAGAATAGAATTTATTTAGTCAATATACAAAAATTTATAATTTATATTTATAAAGTCAATATACATTTTTACATACATGCATATAAAATTTTTGAGAATTTAATCATAACAAACAGATTTTTAATATTAAACTCCTCCTCCTCCTCCTCGCCAACTTCCTCCAGGAGCTCATTGGTTTAGTGGAAGATTTAAGACTCCAGTGCTTCCAAGATCACCTAAAGGTCCACGACCAACCAGACCAACAAAATCTCCATTACCTCCACAACCACAAGCTTATTATTCACCACCCAGAACACCAGCCGAAATCAGAACACCTCCACCTTCTCCTGACTTGGCGAAAGAACGCGATCTTGATACAGATGCTTATCTAGCTAGATTAATAGCCCGACATCCCGATTTACCTCCACTGCCACCAGAGGTAAAGGTAGGTACCTTACCTACACCACCAATGACTCCCCCTCGACGACCAGGAGGCATACCAGGTTGGCCAGATTCACCTGAACGGCCTTTACCACCTACTCCTCCCATTCATCAAATGCCCTTATCTTTTCAAATGCTTGACTGGGGAGAACCTCCTGATTTATACGAAACTTTTGAAGAACCTGAAACTCCTCCATTTCAAGCACCGGATGTTACTGATAAAGATATATCTGATTTTCTTATGCCCAATTTTCTAGCTTCACCTCCACGTACAATGGCAGGTCCTGATTTTCCGTCTACACCCCCACGTCCTATACCTAGGCCGAAATGGATGGAAACCCATCTTCTTCTGCGGTGACTCCAAAAATGAGGGAAATGGTACTTCGAGCCGATTTGGCTGATAGCTATCTTTATCCTCCTGGTGGTGAAAGACCCACAAGAAAACGAGCTTCACCTCCAAAAATGCCAGTAATTCCGGGATCTCCCCCACCTACAAATATATTTGGTTTACCAACTCGAGTTCAATATTCGCCACTGTATAAATTGATTTAACAATTTAAGAAACAACAAACACACTAATTAAAAATATAAAAACACAAAATATCATCATAATAGGCAAATACCTTGACCAAACTAGTACTATTATGTAAAAGCTGTACTTAGGCACTTCGTTTTTTAATAGAAACTATGTTTCAAATGTTTGAATGTTTCATTTTTTATGCTCTTTGTCAACCTAAATCATTGTGCTCTAATAGTATCTCTAGATCTTGTATCGTGATCATGGAAGTTGCAGGTTATATTAAACTTTTTTTTTGGCATGAACTTTAATCTTCTTCTTCTTCTTCTTGACCTTCTATCGTCCATGTTTGGACATAGGCCTCTCCCAACTCCTTCCATCGGTCTCTATCCTGAGCAACATATTTCCAATTTGTTCCGGCTATTCTTTTAATCTCATCAACCCATCTCAAAAACAAAAAAAACAAAAAAAAAACAAAAAAAAACAAAAAAAAACAAAAAGTATGAAATGTAGCGAAGTAAAAGAAATAGTCAGCAAAACATTAAATAGAAAATTTAAAGAAATCGATAATACAACGTAAAGCACAGAAGATAAGATAGAATCCCTTAATAAATCAATAGACGACATTAAAGACAATTTTATGAAGAACGAAGAAGGTAAGAATAATACATGGATGACGACAGAGATTCTGCAACTAATGGAAGAAAGAAGGAAAACAAGAACGATAACTCCATGTATAAAACATTACAGCGAGAGATACAGAGAAAGATCAGAGAAGCCAAACAGAAAGAACTGGAGAAAAAATGCCAAGAAATCGAAATTCTCCAAAGTAAATACGACGACTTCAACGTGCATAAGAAGTAAGAGAAATTACAGGTAAATGTAAAAACAGAAGAATAAGTAAACTTGTTAATGACAATGGAGAGATAATCGTGGACAAAGAGAGTATCAATGATACCTGGAAAAATTACATAAGAAATTTATTTTTTGATGAGAGAGAGAACCAGCCCCCAATACCTACGGAAACAGGACCACCTATACTAGTGGCAGAAATATTAGCAGCCATAATATCACTAAAAGAAGGTAGAGCTCCAGGACCAGACGGAGTACAATCTGAATTTCTTAAACTTCTTGATGATGAATCTTTAAGAATACTATGTAAAATCTTTAATAATATCTATGACACAGGCAATATCCCAAAAGATTGGCTACTTTCAGAATTTATTACCTTACCAAAGAAACAGGGAGCAAAAAAGTGCGGAGAATATAGGCTAATAAGTCTAATGAGCCATACATTAAAACTTTTTCTTAAAATTATACATCGTAGAATATACAAGCTATGCGAAGAGAGAATACAAGACACACAGTTTGGATTCATGAAAGGCGTAGGTACAAGATATGCACTGTTTAGTCTACAAGTATTATTTCAAAGATGCAGAGATATGACTTGCGATATTTACACCTGCTTTGTGGACTACCAAAAAGCATTTGATACAGTTCAACACCAAAAAATGATGGATATTCTAACAAAAGCCCAAATGGATGATAAAGATCGGCGTATAATACAAAATTTCTACTGGAACCAATCAGCCACAATAAGAACGAATTTTGGAGGTGAACCAACGGAAATGATCCAGATTCTACGAGGCGTTAGACAAGGTTGTATACTTTCACCTATATTATTTAATCTATATTCAGAGGAAATATTTAGTGAAGCCTTGGAAAAATGCGAACATGGAATACTTCTAAATGGAGAACGCCTAAACAACATCCGTTATGCAGACGACACCGTTATTTTTGCAGACAGTTTGAACAGTTTACAGCAACTAATAAACAACGTAAATGAAGTAAGTGAAAGATTTGGACTTCAAGTAAATATAACAAAAACTAAATTTATGATCATCAGCAAAAATAAAGTTAGAGACGCTCAACTACTTATCAATAATACACCAGTGGACCGAGTAAAACAGTATAACTATCTTGGAACAACAGTAAATGAACAATGGGATCACTCACAGGAAATAAAATGTAGAATAGAGAAGGCTAGGAGTGCATTCAATAACATGGCCAAACTCTTTAAAAGCCACAATCTTAATCTGGAGATAAAAGTAAGGCTCCTACGCTGAGTTGAATCCTGGACACTAACTGAAGCAATGGAGAAAAAACTTGAAGCCTTCGAGATGTGGCTATACAGGCGAATTCTAAGGATATCATGGACAGACAAGATAACCAACGAGACCGTATTACGAAGAGTGGGCAAAGAAAGAGAGGTGATGTATACCATTAAAAGGAGAAAGTTGGAATATCTCGGACATATAATGAGAAACAGCACTAAATACAGATTACTGAAGGTAATCCTACAGGGTAAAGTATTCGGAAAGCGAGAAATTGGGAGAAGGAGAATATCATGGTTGAAGAACCTGAGGAAATGGTTCTCCACAACAACAACGAATCTATTTAAAGCATCAGTTAATAAAATAATTATAACCAGAATGATTGCCAATATTCGGAACGAATAGGCACTGAAAGAAGAAGAAGAACCCATCTCATCTGCGGTCTTCCTCTTGGTCGTTTACTTTCGTAAGGTCTCCAATGTTGTATTGTAGTATTACAACGTTGGTCTTTTTGTCTAACATTGCACTTCCCATTGTTCTTTCTGTTGTGGCTTGTTTATTCATGTTTGCTTTGATTATGGTCCAAGTTTGACATACATATGTTATGATAGGAAGGATGCATAGGTTGAACAGTTTGCTCCTCAAGTATTGGGGTATTTTGCGGTTCTTAAGTATCCAACTAAGTTTTCCAAATCCTGCCAATGCTAGTCTTGCTCTTCTAGTAATTTCCGCACTTTGGTTCTCTTTGTCAAGTTTCAGGGTCTTTCCTAGGTAGATATATGTCTGGACTTGTTCTATCTCACTGCCATTTATAGTTCACTGACTCTGGGGTCATCTGTGTTTGTCATTATTTTTGTTTTTTCATATTCATTTTTAGGCCGACGGACGTGTTGGGAGCTGCCTGCTAGTTTCCCCATCATAATTTACAGTTCCTCGAATGTGCTCGCTATAATCACTATATCGTCAGCGAATCTGAAGTGGTTTAACTTGTGACCATTAACGTTAATGCCATAGGTTGACCAATTTGTATTTTTGAAGACGTCTTCTAGGGCTAGGTTGAAAAGCTTTGGTGATATTACGTCTCCTTGTCTTATTTTTCTCTTAATGGGGATGGGATTTGTATTTTCGTCTAGTTGTACTATCGTAGTTGCATTTTCATATATATTATGTTGCCTATATCTCGAATCCATTCTACAATTATTAATAGCTTGTTCTATGGCCTACATCTCGATACTATCAAACGCCTTTTCATATTCGACGAAGGCAAGAAATACGGGTAGTTGGTATTCATTTGCCTTTTCTATCAATGTTCTCATCGTCAGCAGATAGTCTGATGTACTATATCCTTTGCGGAAACCAGCCTGTTCAACCGGTTGTGATTCTAGTAAATTCATTAATATTTATGGTTAAGCCAAAAGTAGAAATTTGATCACAAAAACTGTTTAATTCATTAGAAGCTTTTTTGAAATCAATGTTGAAATCTCCAATTATTATTATTTCTAACAAATTAGCAGAGCAAAACACCAATAACTATTCAAATAGGTCTAGAAAAATTTTAAAATTCCCATTTCCGGTTCTATACACTGTTACTAAAATAGTTTTAATCTCTATAATGTATGATGCACAAAATTCACAATCATATTCGCATGATATATCGTTTAAGCAAATTGGTCGTGTAGAGATTTTATTATTGCTAAAAATTGCAACACCTCCATGTTCCCTTACCTTTCGACAATAGAAATTTGACAAAAAATACCCGTCAAGCCATTAAGCTTTAATGTTGTTAATTCGTTGTCTCTGAGCCAGTGTTCAGAGAAACATAATATAGGTAGTGTATCTTTTATTTTTCAAAAAAATATTAAGCTGATCTATTTTGTTTAATAAACTTTGTGTGTTTACATGAAAAATATTAACTAGACTAATCTGGTCAGAGTTTGCTAAAGTATAAAATGGTACAGAGTTATTCGGAATAACACTTTCACTTCTGTCTTTTTCGCTTAATGTATCTGGTTTGCCTAGAAGATTTATCTACTATAGTGTATTTTTATGTATGAGAGAGTAATAAAACAATAAATTATGTATGCAAATCCCTAAACTGTTGATACGGGTGACTCAATGAAAAACAGGTATTTGTCAACAAGTTTACAGAAGTATATAGGAAAACAATTTTAAATTGAGTATGACCACCAGGTATAAAGGTTGGAGCAGAATAGAATACAATAGTTGTGAGGGTTACTAATCCCTAAATAAGGTTGCCAGTGTCGGAGTGATGGAGGTTAACAGGTACTAATGAATTTGCAAGAAATGTAAGATGTTTATTTTATTGGTTTATATATAACCAATAAAAGTTTAATAAGTACCAACCTATTTGCAAAATAAAGTTTAATTCTTTAGATAAAATAAAACGTTTTATTTTATCTGAAATGAGTGCATTCCACGAAGTAAGGGTTTCAACAATCAAACATTTAATTCTTTAATTCCAGGAATCTACGACAGTAATTGACTAGATAATTACCTTCTAAACTTATTCCACAGAAAATGTGATAGTGGGTTTTTCCATTTTGTAGGAAGGTCCAAGTGGCGTATTCAAAATTCTTAACTGTTTACAAAAAGTAGGTACTTCAGTTGCAAGGTGCAGTTTATTGTGTATACTAGTGTTATAGAAAATTTGGAAGTGCCATGTAAACGCCGAAAAATTGGTTCTTTAACAGTTAATGAAAAAACATT